GGGATGGGATGGCCTGGGGATGGTGTGGCTGTAGGGATGGGGTGGCTGTGGGATGGGATGGCCGTGGGATGGGATGGCCGTGGGATGGGGTGGCTGTAGGGATGGGGTGGCTGTGGGATGGGGTGGCCGTGGGATGGGGTGGCTGTAGGGAGCGATGGCCATGGGATGGGATGCCCCCAGGAAGGGATGCTCCTGGGAAGGGATGTCCATGGGAGGGGTATCCATGGGAGGAGTGTCCGTGGGAAAGGATGCCTGTAGGGAGTGATGTCCATGGGATGGGATGCATGGGGCAAGGGATGCCTGTGGAAAGGGATGCCCCCCAGGAAGGGATGCCCATGGGAAGGGACGTCCATGGGAAGGAATGTCACCAGGGAGGGATGTCCATGGGATGGGATACCCCTTGGAAGGGTTGCCCATGGGAAGGGATGCTCCTGGGAAGGGATGCTTGTGGAAAGGGATGCCTGTGGGAAGGGATGTCCATGGGATGGGATGGCCATGAGAAGGGGTATGCCAGGAAGGGATGCTCCTGGGAAAGGATGTCCTTGGGAGGGGTGTCCATGGGAAGGGATGCCTGTAGTGAGTGATGTCCATGGGATGGGGTACCCATGGGAAGGGACATCCATGGCAAGGAATGTCCCCAGTTAGGGATGTCCATAGGAAGGGAAACCCCTTGGAAGGGATGCCCCTGGGAAGGTATGTCCATGGGAAGGGATGCCAGTGGGACTTTGCCAAGGCGAGGTGGCCATGCAGCTCCCATCACTCACCGTCCCCCTTCCCAAGGGAGGTGTCACACAGCCGGGGTCCACAGAGACGCAGAGGATCCCGCTGCTCCCGTACTCCAGGGCCAGGCACTTGGTGAGCATGTTCAGAGCAGCCTGGAGGGGGGGGGGGGGGACAACCCCTACCATCATGAGCTGGCAGTGCCATGGCTGGTAGTGGAGGGGGGATCCCACAGGAGGTAACCACCCCAAATTTCTCCCAGTTCTCCCAGTGTCAGTACCTTGCTGCAGCGGTAGCAGACGTCCTGCCTGTCCTCCCAAGCCTCCGCCACCTCGATGGAGCCCAAGATGCTGGAGATGTTGACGATGGCGGCTCTGCTGCAGCTCATGCCTCGCTGCCCTTCGGCCTCAGCTGCCTCCTTCAGCAGGGGCAGGAACGCCTGAGGGGGACAGACGCTCGGGCATCACCATCCTCTTCCTCCCCTCTCCCAGCATTTGGGGCAGAGAGGTGGTCTCACCTGGCTCATCTGCAGGGGTCCGATGGTGTTGGTAGCGTAGACAAGGCTCATGTTCTCCGCCGTCTCGGTGGCCAGCGTGCTGCGGCGCGTGGTGCTGGTGTTGTTGATGAGGAGGTTGAGGCCGGCGCTTCCCACCTCCTCCCGCACCTTCCCGACAGCCGCCTTAATGCTGTTGGGGTCCGTCACGTCTGCAAGGGGACAGGAGGGCTTGGGGACAGGCTGGTGGCCACGTCCCAGGCAAGGTGCTGTAGGACACGGTGGGATGCAACCCTTCCCTCTGCCCCGGCCATCGATGAGCATCCTCCTGGTCCCAGCAGTGACATGGTTGGGCTGAGCCAAAAAGAGGGACCTGCCTCCTCGGGTGGCTTTTCCCGGAGCCACCCACGGGTGCCATTAAATCCCGAGATCCTTCGTCCCCTTCCCACCCCAGAACCTACCTAGAGGCAGGACCACGACGTTGGGGCGGCCCAAAGCCACCTCGTTGATAGCCTACGCAGAGAAAGGATGGAGAGGGGGGGTGGGTGTCAGGCTTG